ATTGTATAATGGAATAATGAAGGGAGATAAAATACCCGAATCATGGAGGAGATCATTAATAATATTAATACCCAAACCTGATAAAGACTTAACAGACCCAGGGTCATACAGGCCCATATCATTAATAAACCAGGATGCAAAGATATTGTCCGCGATATTAGCTAATAGAATGAATAAATGTATGTATAAGTACATAAAAGAAGATCAGTGTGAGTTTATAAAAGGAAGACAAATGTCAAATTTGATAGGGAGAGTACTAAATAAAATTTATCGGGCTAAAGAGGGGAAAGGAAAAAGCAGGGATATTATCATTAGATATTTTTAAAGCGTTCGATTGTGTGGAATGGGAGACATTAAGGGAAATATTGAATAAATTTGGAATGGGAAATAGAATAAAAGGAGTACTAAAACAATTTTATTCAAAGAACTCAGCAGTGATAACTATAAATGATGGAGTGACAAACGAAATAAAAGTGACTAGAGGAACTAGACAAGGGTGCCCTTTGTCCCCGATATTATTTGCTATGGTGATAGAACTTTTGCTAATAGCATAAGGAACGATAAAAATTTAGAAGGGTTAGGAAAAAAGGAGAAACAGAAGGTGAGCTTATTCGCTGACGATACATTGTTATTTATAGAAAATATAGTGGAGAAAATAGATAGAATAAAAGAACATTTGGAGACATTTGGGAAAGCAACGGGTTTACAAGTTAATTGGAACAAGTCAGAAATGATGCTACTCAATTATACAAGAGAAGAAGAAAAAAAATTTATAGAACAGAGAAAAATGGGAATAAGAATTAAGAATAAATTAAAATACTTGGGAGTAATAATAACTAAGGATTTAAAAGAGATAGAGGAAGTAAATGTAGTAACTTTAAGAAAAGAAGTTCAGAAAAAGTTAATAGAGTACGAAGGTATACACTTATCCTGGTTTGGAAGAATAGCATTAGTAAAAATGAAAATACTTCCAAAAATAAATTTTATATTTAGGATGCTACTATAATAACTCCTTTATGCTATTTGGGCAGGGGGTGTAACAAACCCACCACTGCCCCATCTATTATAATATCCAGGCAGATGGCAATGCGATCATTCCCACCATCTACCCCTAGTCATAAAGGCAGTCCTTATGGCTAAACAATATGACTGGACAGGGGGCAAACAGATCCCAACCCTGTCCCTCCTTTGATAAGGAATTCACACCACTTTGGCACTTATAGCGTTTGAGGGGATGTCTCTTTACTAAAACCTTCGCTGCCACCATAAACCAAATAATCAGGAACCCTCTAGCTATTTAGAATGTTAAAAGGCTTTTTTAGGACCACCAAACACTGTGTATTAACAAAGGCTTCTTTGTAAAAAACAGATGAGGTTGAATTAAAAAGAAAAGGGACTGAAACCACAAAGGGCACTTGACTCAGGCTTAAGTTTTAAAAAATAACAATGAAAGTTTATTGAATAGAAAGGTTACAGAATGAAAGTGAATGCAGGTTCAAAAGCTTGGCTGTTACAATCAAAGTGTTCTTGGTTCTTAGTAGCGTAACGGTTGCTTTGAGAGAATGGTTCTATTCTTTGTTACAATTCCTAAACAAAACCCAGCTATTTCTCCTCTAAAATAGCTGAAACCAGTCTGCCACAGCCTACTTTGCTGTGCAAACTACAGGCAAGCTGCCTATTCCTAACAGAGACTCCTAAAACTCTAATCCTACTCTAACATCACCCAGAACTGAACTGAACTGTCAAAATAAGCTTCTCTCTTTCCCTCCAACTGCCTAACTCCGCCCCCCTTTTCCAAACCAATCCTGGCTGTTGCTGGGCTGGCTCAGGCCTAGGCCACTCCCCCTCTCTGGACTGGAGCTTCCCTAAACTAAGATGGCTCCTGCATCTCTCTGCCAGGCCTTCTAAGCTGAAACTACCTAGCCTGTCTCTTCCTGGGCCCTGCCACCCCCGGCTGGCAAGGTAAGGGATCTTCACAGCTACCACTTCAAATCACAGAAGAAGAACTAATTAGATGGCAACAAATGATTAATAAGTACTGCAATGGAAGTAAAAGAAACAGACTAAACAAACAGTTATGGTATAGATCGCAAAAGGAGGGTAGACTAGCACTACCTAATAAAAAAAAATATTATGAAGCAAGTAGATTAAGTTTGGTTATAGAAGGAATGGTTAAAAAAGAGGGAATAGATTGGCCTAGTAATGATTCAGGAAAAGTGGAAGATGAAACTTGGAATATATTTTTTAAGCAGCTTACTAGAAAAGAATTGAGGGAAATTAGAAACCCAATGTTGAGTAACATACTGAAAGTATGGAATAAATATAAGGGGAGGTTAATAAAGGAGGGATCAATTATAACCCCAATAGTGATGGAAAAGAAATTCCCAAAAAATTTTAAAAAAGTAATGGATAAAAAGGTAAGGGAAATAAATTTAGATAGGATAGGGGATTGGATGAAGGTGGAAATGAAGAGGGAAAGGATGTTGGAAGAGTTTAAAGAAATAAAATTATCATGGTTTCATTGTATACAATTAGAACAATGGTTAATAAACTGGAAAAAAAATAATAGAAATGGAAGCCAACTCAATCAATTCGAACAAATAATACAGAAGGGAAGGGCAGTAGAAGAACATGAAAACTTGAGAGGTATAATTAGCAAAATCTATAAGATATTAATTGAAATGAAGGATGGAAAAATAAAAAAGTATACCCTTAAGGAGATTTGGGAAGAGGATTTAGGGATAAAAATAAGTGAAATAGAGTGGCAACAGTTATGGGGACAAAGACATTTAAAAAATTTATCGATACGAGTTAAAGAAAATTACTATAAGTTAATATGGAAGTGGTACTTAACACCGGTAAGAATAGCATATATGAATAAAAATAACTCAAGAAATGGTTGGAGAGGGTGTCAAGAACCAGGAACATATATACACATGTGGTGGCAATGTAAATATGTAAATAATTTTTGGGAGAAAGTATTTAGAGAAATAGAAATTATAATGAATATGAAAATAGACAAAAGTCCTAGTATAGCCTTACTATCATTATATACCAATAAGCAATTGAAAAAGGAGGATAAAGAAGCGATAACAAACTTATTAACTATAGCAAGACTGCTCATAGCAAGGAATTGGAAAAAAGAAATGAATATACAAATAGAGGAGTGGTATAAGGAAGCATGGAAAATAGCAATAAATGATAAACTGACATGTATATTAAAGGTTAAAAAAGGTATATGGAAACAAAGCGATTTTGATGCTGTATGGGGAAAATTTGTGGTAAATGGATTAAAAAATAAGGAAGGAAAATTACCGTCACAAGAAGAAATGAAATTTTGGACAGATGAAATGTAAGAAATATGGCTTGAGACGGGTGGAGGGGAGCACTGTGGTGGGAAAAAAAAAGGAAAAAAATGAGAAAAGGGGGGGGGGGGAAATGTCAAAGCAAAACAACAAAACAACATGTTAAAGAGGTTGATGTATAAAATGCAATAGGATGTAATAATTGTGATAAATCAATAAAAATTAATAATAATAATAATAAAATAACCCATTAAAAATGGGAAAAAAAAGAAAAAAAAAGATAAAGTACAAAGCATTTAATATTCACAGTTTCACTTACCTACAGGGAAATGTGTCTTTGTTAGTTCTGCTGGACCTCTTGGTGGCTCTTGATGCCATTGGCCAGGCTATCCTCCTGGGCTTCCTTGTTGGTGTTGGAAATAGTAAACTTCTACAAGCCTGCTATACTAGTTATTTGTTATTTATGTAATTGAGATTTCTTGCTGCATTGTATGCATATATTGGTATGCAGTTTTCCCCTTAACTCTATGTTGTTAGAGGTTGTGGGAGGGACTACAGACCATGTGTCCTGATCTTAGAATGATCAAAGTAGACTCCATTTTAGAATGTGTAGGAATCAGGAGTCAGTTAAGTCAGTTAGAAGGCAGTTGAGATTTGAGTCGGTTTTGAGGTCAGTTGAGTAGGTTGATGTCAGTTAGAGCAGGAGTATAGTCAGTATGCTGCAGTGAGATGTTAGTTAATATATGAGTGTGTTTGCAGCAGAAATATAGTACATTATACATTACAGTTGAAGAATAGTACAGTATAGTACAGTTTGAAGTATTATTCAGTTAACATGAAACCAATAAGCAATGTACCTGCATGTTAAATACATGAAGTTTGTAAGTAAATCAACTATGTTAGCTTTTAATGAAGACTACTTGTATTTTGGTCTCTTGAGAGCATGATTTGAAAGCAGTATATTTTATAGAAGAGTGGATGTTGATGTTCTTTTAGGCACTCGAAATAACACTTCTAAAGATCTGCTATGTATTTTATGCATTGGTATATCTTTGTTTCTAACAGGTCAGAGAGATAACCAGGTATATCAGTCTAACAGCTGAGAAGTCTAAATTGCCTTACATGAATACTAGTAGATATTTATTTACCACTAAGGAGAGGATTGACTCAAGTGATTTTTAACTCTTCTAAGGAAGAGCATAGTTTACAAAAAGGTTACGATCTCTAACAAGGTCATGCTTTTCCAAAAGGTTATGATTCCTCCAAATAATGTGAATACCATTTAATCTCCAAAAGGAGAAAATCTGGGGTGTGGGGCCTGTCTGGAAGGATCCTTAGTTAATATGGCCCTGGAAATTTGAATTCATTTAGACTAGTCAACAATTCCTCCACTATCTCTTTACTTATTCTGTATTGCATTTCCCCTACCACATTATCAATTATGTATATATGTGGCCACTATCTGTAAGCTACGTTAACTTTTAGATTTGGGGAAAGGACAGGATATAAATCGAAATAATCACAGCTACAAAAATCTCTAAAAAAAAGTAAATGCTGTTTCAAAACAAAACATATTTGAAACAACAGCATCATATAATTCTGGGGGGCAGATGCCTTTTCTACCCATTCCATTAGAAAGTGCTCACCTGACTGATAGTTAACATATATATATCTGGATGTTTTATGTCTTAACAGCAAAGAAGAGACTGTAAGTGTGTATCCTGCTGACGTGGTTCTGTTTGAAGGAATTTTGGCTTTCTACAGCCAGGAGGTCCGGGACCTTTTCCAGATGAAGCTCTTTGTGGATACTGATGCAGACACACGGCTCTCCCGAAGGGGTAGGTGGCAGGTTGTTCCTTCCCTGCTAGGCATTCAGAGGTGACTGAAATATGCTTTGAGTGTATGTGCTGACGCATCTCAAGTTCTGTTTGAATGCTATGAATCTTATCACAGAATCTGCATAACTGTTATTATTTTTTCAAAGACGGGGAGAACATTTTCCCTCCTCCAATGTACTGGTACTTCTGTTTTCCAAGTATTCTAAAACGTTATTGCTACTGATTCTGAGATTACTTCTGACAATTATTTTAATATCCTTCAAGTAAGGCACCTTCTACACTATCATATAATTCACATTATCTGCCTTGAAGTGGATTGTATTTTTTATTGCAAGAGCTGAACTGGGCTATTGATGACAGAGTGTCTTGGAGTTCTTGCATTCATAAGGTCACCATAAGTGAAAGTTGACTTGATGGTAATGAACAACAATATTGCTGGGGAAATTATATCTGTTGAATACCTGCACCATCTACGGTTTTTAAATGCACTGGAAATTTGTCAGGAGAAGGTAAAAGTAAAGGTTTTCCCCTGACATGAAGTCCAGTTGTGTCCGACTCTGGTGTGGTGCTCATCTTCATTTCTAAGCCGAAGAGCTGGCATTGTCCGTAGACACCTCCAAGGTCATGTGGCTGGCATGACTGCATGGAGCGCCGTTACCTTCTCGCCGGAGCGGTACCTATTGATCTACACATATTTGCATGTTTTCGAACTGCTAGGTTGGCAGAAGCTGGGGCTGACAGCGGAAGCTCACGCCGCTCCCCGGATTCGAACCTGCGACCTTTCAGTCAATAAGCTCAGCAGCTCAGCACTTTAACCCACTGTGCCACCGGGGGCACCTTTGTCAGGAAAACGAGAAATAAAATGGCTTTTGTGGGCACACACTGTTACTATTATTATTATTATTATTATTATTATTATTGTTATTATTATTATTATTATTTATATCTTGATTTTTCTTTCCACAAGGAGGGAGTTGGTTTACATCACATGCAAAGAAGTTAAGAGCCTTTCCAGACAGGCCTATCCCAAGAGCAACACAGATGTTCCAGGGGCCCATCTACACACCCCCCAGAAAGTGCGCACTTTTTGGGGTGGATGTCCAAATGTTCTCCCAGAACTTTCTGGGAGAACACTGGGATATTGTAACTTCCTCCCCCAAAGCTCCCCAAAACAGCTTCAAAAAACAAAAGAACTTACCCAGTCTCCATGAGTTCTCCTGCTAGAGTTCTCCTGGCACGTACAAATGATGTGCCAGGAGAAAGCGGGCAGGAGTGATTTTCCTCCCCCCCCCCCCCTTTCTCCTGGCGCATCATTTGTATGCACCAGGAGAACTCCAGGAGCCGTCTCATGGAGGCCGGGTGAGTTCTTTTGTTTTTTGAGGGGCTTTGGGGGGTGGTATTCCCACAATTTTCTGGGTTAATTTAGCCCGGAAAACTGTAGAAATACTGTCTGGAATGCATTCCAGACACTGGAAGTAGTGGGTTTATCCCGCACCTTCCAAGAATGTGTGAAATAAACCATTATCAAATTAATTTGCCACAAACTAGGGTTTTCCTGGTTTGTGGCGGATTAATTTGGGTCGTCTGGACAGCCTCCTTTTTATTGAGGAAGTTTCCACATCAACCAGGCGGCAACCAGGTTGTTAACTGGGGTCCCTTACATGGGGAGGTCAACCCTCCTGTTCAAGGAGCTCCACTGGTTGCCATTCATCTATGTTATTGTCCATGTTCTTTATTTTAATTGCTTGTATTGTTGTGATTATTGCTTGTATTGTTGTGTTTGGGCTCGGCCTCATGTAAGCCGCACCGAGTCCCTTGGGGAGATGGTAGCGGGGTACAAATAAAGTGTTGTTGTTGTTGTTGTTTATTATTATTATTATTATTATTATTATTATTATTATCAACAGGGCTGCCTAGATCCGCCCTAAGAAAACATATCCTTTTGTTTCCTGCATATAAAGGTTCCAAGGGGGAAATTAGCAGTTTTCATTTTGTGTTGTTATACTGGTCAACTGTTTCATGACACACCACATGGTCTATACAGTGAAGCAATAATGTGCAAGTGTTGTTGTCTGGATTTGAGGAACTAGAAATAGAAACCTAGAAAGAGGGGGAGAGATTCCTGGGATTTGGTGAGGATAGGGAGGAGAATTAAGAGAGGGGAAGGCTGAATGAGCACTGAAGAAGACAAAGAAGAGAATTGCTAGCAAAGAAGAAAAACTGTGTGGGTGCGAAGGAAGGATAAAAGCTGTGTGGGAAGTTAATTACGGCTAAGCAAGTGCTAGTTCAAAGTAGCAGAGTGGGGGTGGAAGAGCAAATATGAACCCAAGAGAAGCAAAGTAATGTCATTAGTCTGTAATAATAAAAGAGAATTTGTGGGCAAGTGTATGTCTGTCCCATAACCTATGGAACGCAGAATGTGAAATCTAGATGTGAACTAAGAAGACCATAAAATCGGGCGTTGCATAGTCATTTCATGCAAACAAGGCAACGTGATCTGCCAGAGAAAGAGAACTTGTTGGACATGGCTACTATTTTATCCTAACTCTTCAAATATTAAGATAGAAAAGGAATGTGTAATGAGAAGAGGGAAATGCTTAATGAACACTGGAGAACAGGATGAGAAACAGAAAAAGCATTCGGATGAGAAACAGGAAAGAAATAGCAAAAAGAGAAGGGGGGAAGCACCTATGTAGGTGGGAGGGAGTGGGTGGGAAAACAAGGGGGTTTCTAATGTATGGAAAGTTGAAAACTTCTCCAGGATCAAGTTTATTTATTTATTTATTTATTTACGACATTTATATGCCGCCCTTCTCACCCCGAAGGGGACTCAGAGCGGCTTACAAGATACATACACATACAATGTATTATATTATATATATTTTTAAGAATTTTATTAGATTTTCCATAATAACAACAAAAGAGTGAGAACAATAACAATATATATGATTAGCATAGTACAATATCAGTATTATATATTACTATATTGTACCATACCGTTATATTGTAATATTATTAGTAATATTACATGTCATATGAAACATAATTATAATATATAATTACCGTAAAAACTGGACTATTAGACGACTTTCTAAGCCTTTAAAATCCTTTGAAAAGTTGGGGGTCGTCTAATCTCCCGGATATAGCAGATGACAAATGGTAGCAACACTGGAGCCGAGGCAGCGGGTGAGAACCTCCGCTTGCAGCGGCCTGCTTGCCTGACTTCAAGGGCTACGCAGGCCACGCTGGCCGTGGAGGCCTGCGCTGACCTCCGCAGCTGGTGAGCGCGCCTGCCCGCCCCTGGTGCTGCCAGCGAGGCTTCCAGCCTCTGTCTTTAGCCTCCAGGAGCAGCGTGGCGCAGGCCTGACGCTCCATCGGGCCCCAGCTGGGCTCAGTGAGGAAAGAGGCAGCGTGAGGAAGGAGGCTGGAGGGCAGCCTTTCTCACGCTGCGTCCCTCCTTCCTGGGCCAAATTGGGGCCAAGGGAGTGTCTGGCCGCACCACGCTGCTCCTGCTGGTGAGCAGCACCAGGGGTGGGCGCGCTCACCAGCTGTGGAGGTCAGCGCAGGCCTCTGCAGGCCTCTGCAGCCTTTCCTGCCTCCAGCACTGAGGAAGGCATCTGCGGGGCGAGGGAAGTGGAGGGAAAGGTGCACACCTGCGGAGACCTGCACTGGGGTAAGCAGCAAGCAGACTTTAGCCTGTGCAGGCCTCCGCAGGTGTGCACCTTTCCCTCCTCTTCCCTCGCCCCGCAGATGCCTTCCTCAGCGCTGGAGGCAGGAAAGGCGTGTGAGGGAGGGAAAGGTGCGCACCTTTCTCTCCTCTCTCGCCCTGTGAGCGCCTTTACCATTGCTGCCGAGGAAGACATGCGTGGGGTGAGAGAGAAGGGGGAGAGGTGCACGCCTTTCTCTCTCTTGCCCCATATGCAGCTTTTCTGCCTCCTCGCACGACTGCCCCCGCGGTCGCGCAGGGGCCGAGAGAGGAGGATAGCAAGGCCGCCAGGGCTCCCTCCTCCTCTGTCATCGCTGCAGCTGCCGAGGAAGGAGGGGGGGAGCAGGGAAAGACAGAAGGGGGTTGGAGCAGATGGCCCTTGGGGTCTCTTCCAACCCCTTTATTAATGTTGTTATTTTTGAGGCTGGGTGGCCGTCTGTCGGGTGCTTTGTGCATTTGTTGCATGAAGGCAGAAGGGGGTTGGGCTAGATGGCCCTTGGGGTCTCTTCCAACTCTTATTAGTATATTATTATTATTATTATTATTATTATTATTATTATTATTATTGAGAAAGTTTGCCTGTCTGTCAGGGGTGCTTTGATTGTGCTCCTGCTGCATGAAGGCAGAAGGGGGTTGGAATAGATGGCCCTTGGGGTCTTTTCCAACTCTTATTGGTATGAATCTTATTATTATTATTATTATTATTATTATTATTATTATTGAGAAAGTTTGGCTGTCTGTCAGGGGTGCTTTGATTGTGCTCCTGCTGCATTAAGGCAGAAGGGGGTTGGACTAGATGGCCCTTGGAGTCTCTTCCAACTCTTATTAATATGAATCTTATTATTATTATTATTATTATTATTATTATTATTATTATTATTGAGAAAGTTTGGCTGTCTGTCAGGGGTGTTTTGATTGTGCTCCTGCTGCATTAAGGCAGAAGGGGGTTGGAATAGATGGCCCTTGGAGTCTCTTCCAACTCTTTATTAGTATTAATGTTGTTGCTGTTGTTGTTGTTGTTGTTGTTGAGGCTGGGTGGCCATCTGTCAGGGGCACTTTGATTGTGGATTTGATGCATGAAAGCAAAAGGGGGTTGGACTAAATGGCCTAAGGGATATCTTCCAACTATTTATTAGTATTAATATTATTATTATTGATGTTGTTGTTATTGTTATTACTGAGGCTGGGTGGTCATCTGTCAGGGGTGCTTTGATTGTACTTTCCCTGTATTAAGGCAGAATGAAGGGTGTTGGACTAGATGGCCTTTAGAGCTCCCTTCCAACACTATTATTATCATTATCATTACCATTATTATTCATGTTAATATTAAGGCTGGATGGCCATCTGTCAGGGGTGCTTTGATTGTGCTTTCCCTACATGATGGCAAAATGAAGGGGGTTGGACTAAATGGCCTTTAGAGCTCCCTCCCAACTTTAGGATTCTGTGAAAGAGATCTTCGTTGACCACAAGCCAATAGTGTGATGCTGCAGCTGATAAGGCCAATGCCATTTTAGGCTGCCTCAATAGGAGAAGCATGAGAGAAGGCAAAAGAGAACTGATAATGACACTTTACCTCGCTTAGTTTTTTAATTGCTTTAAATGAGTATTATTTATTGCAACTGTTTATTTTAACTTATTGCCAGCATGATGTAAAGGACCCAGAGTGTAAATGAAATTCAAGGAGAAAGAACAACTGTAATGTACAATGTAAGGTACAATGTCCCTCTCATAGGAACCTGCTTCTCATAAGCATTTGAATTAAAATTACCATATTGAATTCAAATCTAATTTTTATTTTTTTTATTTAGTGTGCATTGGAAGGGGGGTGGTCTTATACGGCGAGTATATGCCAAACTCTATATTTTAACTGGAAAAGTTGGGGGTCATCTTATATGCCCAGTCGTCTTATATGCCGGAATATACGGTAGTATTATATTGTATTACATTATAATGTTGTAAATATTATATGTATATGTATATACACTATATTATATTACATTATAATATATCATATCCCCAACTGAAGACAAAGGTTGGATTTGTCTTTCAGTTTCTTCAAGGCTAACTTTTTTGCATTTTTCTTCCAGCACAGATCCTTGTTTGCACTGGCTTTTAGGAAAAAAAACTACTTCAGCTTTCCCCCCCCTCTTTTTGAATCCTCTTCCCTGTAACCCTTTACCTTTTCTAAAAGAAAAAAAAACAAGCTACTCAGGATATGTATTGTCAAAGGCTTTCATGGCTGGAATCACTGGGTTGTTGTAGGTTTTTCGGGCTATATGGCCATGTTCTAGAAGCATTTTCTCCTGATGTTTCGCCTGCATCTATGGATGCCTGCTGTAACAAATTCCTTAATTTACAATAATTTTTAAAATAAAAGTTTTATTGAGTTATATATAGTGCAAGCAGGTTAGTTTGAAATGTAGCTGTTCTTTTTGGCTGTGTTGCCATAGTGACGTAGGCCTCCAGGCAGACGCAAAAGGGGCGGAGCTAACTGCCACTGGAGGAAAGCAAACCAAAGTGGAAGATGGGTTCGTTGGGAAACTGAACAAAAGGGGTTTAGTCTTTAACCGGAGTGCTAAAAGGAAGGACTGATCCTAGCTATGCAAGGGCAGGACTCAAGGGTTTAGTGCAGGGGTCCTCAAATGTTTTAAACAGAGGGCCAGGTCACAGTCCCTCAAACCGTTGGGGGGCTGGATTATATTTTGAAAGGAAACATGAATGAATTCCTAAGAACATTGCACATATCTTATTTGTAGTGCAAAAAACACTTTAAAACAATACAATAAATAAAATAAAAAACAAATTTTAATAAATATACTCTTATTAGTATTTCAGTGGGAAGTGTGGACCTTCTTTTGGCTGATGAGATAGGATTGTTGTTGTTGTGTGCTTTCAAGTCATTTCAGACTTAGGTTGACCCTGAGCGAGAGCCGGGTAAATGACCTTGGAGGGCCGTATCCGGCCCCCGGGCCTTAGTTTGAGGACCCCTGGTTTAGTATAACCAGTTTTATCTTCAGCCTTGATATTTTAAGAGTCAAAACAATTAACTGTGAAGTATAACCTAGCTGGGATGCTACAGGAAAGAGATTCCCGATCGTTTTATTGTGTCTTCAGTGTCAAATCTGAAGTAATAAAAGTGGAAATTTGGATTTAATGTCAGTCAGAAAGACTGACGTGGAAATTGCTTGTCAATGAGTGAATATTTAGTTGAATTATAAGTAAAGTTAAGGAACCATAAGTTTAAAGTAACCCAGTCAAGAAACTGAGGAAAGAAACAACGTTTTAAAGAAAAGGAAACAACAAACATTGAGGTGGCAGAAGAGAAGCCATTCTTACAGTTTAATAGTAACAGTTTCATGTTTTCAGAAGAACAAAGAGTTAATTGTAGCAACAACAAGAAAATATTGTGTAACCATCCAGCTTGTGTGAATCTGAGTATTCTTTAAATAAACATTTTTCTGTTTAGTTTAAATACTAGAACTGGTAACCCAGTCCTTAATTATTAAGGAAAAGATTTTCCTCAGAAGAAGGCGGCTGAATATATCGGAAGAAAGGATTCTGGTTGGGGTAATGAGTTAGTCCTTTTTAAAAGTGCCTCAAGTAAAAACATTTTAAAAGTCAAGCCTCAGCAACACGCACCACTATTATCTTGGTATCCTCATTGCCCTGCTTTTTAAAATATATTTGTCATTTGTTGGTTTGGCCTTCTCGTTTACACCTGCCGTAGATGCAGGTGAAACATCAGGAGAGAATGCTTCTAGAACATGGCCATATAGCCTGAAAAACCTACAACAACCCAATGCTGCTCAGTATATGTTGCTCAACTGTGTAATTGTAATGTAGCTGTGTATGATTTCCATTGTTGTCACTCATCGTCTTACTGTTTGTTTGTCCCTTCTAGTTCTTCGAGACATCAGTGAGCGTGGCAGGGACCTCGAGCAGATCTTATCTCAGTATATTACATTCGTCAAGCCAGCCTTTGAAGAATTTTGCTTGCCTGTGAGTAAGGAGATTTACTCCTCTGTCCATTCTCTGTGAAAGTCTGTGGGTAGCTGGGAGGCTCAAAAGGAGAGGCTTTTGGTGGATGCTCTTTCCTCCCAGCTAGTGAAGCCTGTAGTGATTGAAACACCGTAAAGGCATCAGATCCTGTCTGATCTTGGAAGCTAAACTCAATGAAATTCATGGGGATGCCGTAAGTGAACAGGTGACTTGAAGGCATATTCAAACAGAGAAAGAAGTCAGTAGTGTACCTAGCAAATTTGACTTTCTGGGCAGATCCCTTCTTAACACCTTTCTCGTCTAAATGTCCAAATTCTTTTAGGAATAATCATGAAATGAAACAAATAATCTGAGTAATTCTTGCTAAGCCTGAACCCCTCATCTTGCAAAAGCAAAGGGAAAATGTAACCTGGCACTCCAGCAGCCTTACATTACCTGTCTGAAGCAATAGCATGATTGCACAAGGACCAACTAGTGTTTTATTACTGATTTTAAATTATCTGCAGACAATGCAGCCTCTTATTGCCACCACCTAGGGTGGATCCCCACCACCACCTTAATAATAATAATAATCATCATCATCATCATCATCATCATCATCTTTATTTAAAAGGGACTCAGGGTGGCTTACAAGACACTACAAGTATATAATAATAATAATAATAATAATAATAATAATAATAATAATAATAATAATAACAATAACAATAACAACAACAAGTACCAACAACTACAACAAGTACCACCTGCCAGTAGTAAAGGTCATGGGAAATGAACATGCAAAAATACTGTGGGACTTTCGAATCCAGACTGACAAAGTTTTGGAACACAATACACCAGACATCAGTATATGAGTATAAACACAATGTCACATGAAAGTTATAAAAACAACCACTATTAACATATAAAATAAAATTAAAACACAGTTTAAAATGCAGACCATTTGTAGTTAAAACTACTTGCCTTCAAATAACAACTAAAGTGTCAATAGTGTCAAACTCATATGGGCCCTTTTCAGCCTACTTGAGGGCAAAAGCCGGCTTTAAAAATCCATGTTTTTAGGCTGGATCAGAAGGAGTCAAGGGTGAGGGCTCACCTAATCTCTTTTGGGAGGCTATTCCAGCTCTCGAAGCCCACGCCAGTTCATAGAGATGTGATCTCGAAGATAGGTTGGACCTGAACCATATAGGGCTTTGTAGGTAATAACCTGCACCTTAAATTGAGCCCGGAAAATTGTCAGAAGCCAGTGGAGCTGCTTGAGTAGGGGCATAGTATGTTCCCTATAGCTAGCTCCAGTTAGTAATCTACCTTGTGCATAGAATCTCACTTAGTGCAGTATGATGCAGTGAGGCCCCTTCTACACTGCCATACAATACAGATTATTGAAGCAGATAATCCACATTATCTGCTTTGAACTGGATTATATGAGTCTACACTGCCATAAAATCCACTTTAAAGCAGATAATCTGGATTTTATATGGCAGTTTAGAAGTGGCCTCAGGACCCTTCCACACAGTCTTTTATCCCAAAATATCAAGGCAAAAAATCCCACAATATCTGCTTTGAACTGGGTTATCCGAGTCCACACTCAGATAATGTGGGATTTTCTGCCTTGATATTCTAGGATATAGGTCTTTGTGGAAAAGCCCTCACTTAACCCACTTCAAAGCAGATATTGTAGGACTTTCTGCCTTGATATTCTGAGATATAGGGCTGTGTGGAAGGCCCTAAGATGATGTGACAGGCTTGTTCTGACTGACTAGGGGGAAGGTTATAGAAACTGTGTCAAACTGAAGCTGAGCTGTGAGTTGGTTCTAGAAAATTCTATGAATTCTATGTTGGGAGAAAGTCTGGATGTTAAATAAACAAACAAGGCTACATATGTTTAGCATTTGCTGAGCCAGTGACTGCTTTCAATGAATTCCAATTATATGCTGAAATCCCCATAAATCATGCTGTTTGGCTTGTGTTTCCAAATCTTGTTTCAGTTTGGCTTCAGCATGAGTTAACATGGAGAGCATCTTTCGGTTGTGCAGTCACATTATTCACATCTCTAGGGGACAAAAATAAGAAATTAAGATATCTATCAGGCATGTGCTTTTCTAGACTTGAGTTCACTTTACATCTGATGAAGTGGATTCTAGACCACCAGAAATTATGAGGACATAACATTCTGCAACCAATGGACATCGTTGTCCTTTTGGAAACTCTTAAGAATTTCTGTGGCGAAAAGAGGAGCAATTCTTTGGATAATTTTTACCCTGGGCCTTTCCATACAGGCCCTATATCTCAAGATCTAATCCCTGGTTTTCTGTTTATCCCAAATTATCTGTCAGTGCGGGTTGATATAATCCAGTTTAACCTGGGATCAGATCCTGGGATATATGAGCCCTGGTTCCAGTCTTGCCTGGGAAAGAAAAAAAAAATCAAAGGAAAATCAGGGCCCTTCCACACAGCCCTATATCCCAGAATATCAAGGTAGAAAATCCCACAATATCTGCTTTGAACTGGGTTATCTGTGTCCACACTCAGATCATGTGGGATTTTCTGCCTTGATATTCTGGGATATAGGGCTGTGTGGAAGGGCCCTCAGTCTTGGGGAGGGGAAAGCCTACGTGAACTCTGAAGGAAGGAGAGTAAGGATGATAATTATTCCACCTATAGCTCCAATAACATAGATTCTTTCTTTTTGGCAGACCAAGAAATATGCTGATGTGATTATCCCAAGAGGGGTGGATAACCTTGGTGAGTAGGGGATAAGCTGGGTGACAAACTAGATTATTCAGGTGCCCCCACATTTGAGATCTTGACTATTAGTTTCAGAGAATGACAGGAAATTGTCAAAGAGAAGCAGCTAGCAAGACATCTGTCACTGTTTTCAGTTCATAGATGAGAGGACTAACAAAGTATTCTTATTCAGACTCCATGTATTTATGAAGAGCAAATTATTTAGTGTACTTCTAAAAATACAGTCTGTTTCGTAGTGTTACTACCTCCTCTGTTACCCTACTCCCACTAGACCCTATAAGGAGCAAATATTTATTTATTATTTATTTACAGTATTTATATTCCACCCTTCTCACTCCGCAGGGGACTCAGGGCGGATTACAACGTACATATACAGGGCAAACATTCAATGCCATAGACACACAACATATATAGACAGACACACAGAGGCTATTTAACTTCCAGCTTTCATGAGGGTATTTTGGCCACCAAGGGAGCAGTCGCTTCACCGTCCATTTGTGACACTGTTGGAGTACTTCCTCATTCTTTGCATGCTTGCTGGAGATTTTATGGCCTCGTAAATTAGTTAAATTTGCCTCCCCGCATAAATGGTACCTAAATTTCCTACTTGACAGATGCAACTGTCTTTCGGGCTGCAAAGGTCAACAGCAAGCTACACAAAATTGGTTGGAAGCTCACTCCGACCCGGGCTGGCTTTGAACTCATGACCTTTCGGTCAGTAGTGATCTTAATGCAGCTGACTCCCAGCCAGCTGTGCCACAGTCAACAAACTATCTAAGATTAGAAGATACCTTCTACACTGCCATATAATCCAGATTATCTGCTTCGAACTGGATTATCTGGCAGTGTAGACTCATATAATCCAGTTCAAAGCAGATAATGTGGATTATCTGCCTTGATAATCTGGATTATATGGCAGTGTAGAAGGGGCCTTAGTTTGAGCTGTTCAGCAATGACACTTCAGAAAGTGTTGAACTCTATTTTCTCAAAATATTTGAGGCTAGTTCATTGTTTTCTTACATTGTTTTCTTGAACAGTGTTCATTGTTTTCTTGTACCTTTTAGATTTTGTGACATCACAGTTGTTTTTAATAGTACTCTTACAGGAACAAAAGAAAGAAGGATAGGCACTTGTGGGGTCACAACAGTTCAATCTTGGCTGCTTCTTGTTTTGCGCAATGGGGAATGGCTAAATTGGAGCCTTCAGGCTTGATTTTTGTTTCAGCAAAAAGGAAACGGGGAAAAACAACAAATATATAATTTTTTTAGAGCATCAAATAAGAATTTTCTGCTGATAAGGGAGAAGTGTGGCAAGCAGGGGACATAGAAGGAAGGAAATGAAAATTCAGGGGAGATTGTCTTTGTTGATTAGAGCACTTGGGGACATAATCTGTTTTTGTCGGCATAACAAGATGTCAAGGGTTTTGTTTTTGTTTTTTTTACTTATATCCCACCCATTTCAGCTCAAAGGTGACTCAGGACGGCATACAAATCTGCAACATTTAGATGCTGTATATAAATACATATGTCGGTTAAAAGTACAAAATTACAACATAATAATGTAAAAACCATAAAAACAATAAAAATCATAAAACTATGTCCTCCTGTTCAGTTCCTCAACCGTTTCCATCATCTTAGCCGTTCCTTGTTCATATTCCAATTTGAGTTTATGTGGTCATGCTGAAGTTCCAAACGCTTGCTCAAAGAGCCAAGTTTTCACTCTTTTTTGAAAGGTCAGGAGGGAAGGGGCTGATCTAATATCCCTAGGCTGGGAGTTCCACAGCCGAGGGGCCACCACAGAGAAGGCCCTGTCTCTCAACCCCGCCAGACATACCTGTGAGGCAGGCAGAATCGAGAGCAGGGCCTCCTCAGATGACCTCAAGTTTCTAAAAGCTTCATAGGGAGAGATGGATTTGTTTCTCAAACTGGGGGTTTGAGAAACAAACCCCTGGGGGGGGGGGTCACGAGGGGGTTTCAGAGGGGTCACCAAATACCATCAGAAAACACATATTTCTGATGGTTTTAGGAACCCCCTTGGCACAGTGCTCTCTGGATGTAGGTGAACTATATCTCCACTAAACCAATGTCAGTTCACCCAAATCCCTCCAGTATTTTCTGTTGGTCATGGAGGTTCTGTGTGGGAAGTTTGGCCCAATTCTATTGTTGGTGGGGTTCAGAATGCTCTTTGATTGTAGGTGAACTATAACTCCTAGCAACTACAACTTCCAAATGTCAAGATCTGTCATCCCCAAACTCCACCAGCATTCATATTTGGGCATATTGAGTATATGTGCCGGGTTTGGTCCAGATCCATCATTGTTTGAGTCCACAGTGCTTTCTGGATATAGGTGAACTACAACTCCAAACTCAAGGTCAATGCTCACCAAACCCTTCCCGTATTTTATGGTGGTCATGAGAGTTCTGTGTGACAAGTTTGGTTCAGTTCCATTGTTGGTGGAGTTCAGAATGCTCTTTGATTATAGGTGAACTAAAAATCCCAGCAACTACAACTCCCAAATGACAAAATCATAATTTTTTGAGTAGTGGTCACTCCTTGTGTTGTGAAACGTTTTGTTTGGCCCAATTTTGTTGTTGGTGGGGTTCAGAATGCTCTTTGATTGTAGGTTAACTGTAAATTTCAGCAACTACAACTCTCAAATGACAAATTCAATCCCTCCCAACCCCACCAGTATTCAGATTTGGGTATTTGGGCCAAATTTGGTCCAGTGAATGAAAATACATCCTGCATATCAGGTATTTAAATGACGATTCATAACAGGAGCAAAATTACAGTTATAAAGTAGCACCAAAAATATGGTTGGGGGTCACCACAACATGAGGAATTTTATTAAGGGGTCACGGCATTAGGAAAGTTGAGAACCACTGCTTTAAGGATTACATGTAGACTCTGCGTTGACAGACTTTCTAACCCCGCCACCATTTCCTCTACGCAGTGGCCATCAACCTGATTGTGCAACACATCCAGGACATCTTGAATGGAGGCCTTGGCAAGCGGCAGCCCAATGGGTACCTGAATGGCTGTACTCCTCCCCGCCAACGACAGCCCTCAGAATCAAGCAGCCGGCCGCATTGACCTCGACGATGCCAGGAGGTCCTGCACTGTTGCTCCTCTTGGCCTTTGCCCTGTATTTAAGACCTTCCCCCACCTGCCGGGATTGAGTGCCTGTCTGCTGCGGAGATTAGTGCGTCCCTACTGAAAGAGGATCTTCTCTTCCCTGGCCAGATATTGCCTGCCTGCAGTGCCTTTGCTCCAGAGTCCACAAGGAAGGGCTAAATCCCTCAATAAGCTGTAGTGTGCAATGGCAAGATGATGCCTCAGTCTGGCTGGTGAGACCGTGCAATTACGAAGTGTTACCTGATGCATGCAATGGAATTGAAACAGAACCGGGTGGCCAAAAGATTATGTCATTAGCTAAATGTTACACCTGAACCTTAATTTTATATTATGAATAAGAAAGGAAAGAATACTGGCAGAGGGTGCTGTTGTTATTTCCATTTCTCAGAAATATGTGTCATATCCAGTCTTGTTTTGGTGGGTTTGAGGAAGAGAGCAGAGATGGTGAGAAGAAGACAAGAGGTTCCATCCCATTTTCAGCAATCTCACAATACAAACAGGCAATGCCACTTTTACCCCATCTCAACTCCCACACCAAAACTGCTTTTTTTTTTGTTGTCTCAGGAGTGACTTGAGAAACTGCAAGTCGCTTCTGGTGTGAGAGAATTGGCCGTCTGCAAGGACGTTGCCCAGGGGACGCACGGATGAATTGATGTTTTTATCAGCCTTGTGGGAGGCTTCTCTCATGCCCCCGCATGAGGAGCTGGAGCTGACAGAGGGAGCTCATCCGCCTCTCCCCGGATTCGAACCTGTGACCTGTTGGTCTTCAGTCCTGCCAGCACAGGGGTTTAACCCACTGCGCCACGGGGGGCTCCACCAAAACTGCTTAAATGCCAGAATTTAAATACTTGTTTTTCAGCTTGTTAGCTAATCTTGACATGTGAGGCTAAATCATTTTGATTTTTCCTTGTTCTTCAGCTTCACTTGGGGCCCTTCCACATAGTTGTATAAAATGCACACAGAACTGGATTATATGGCAGTATGGACTCAGATCATCCAGTACAAAGCAGATATTATTGATTATCTGCCTTGATATTCTGAGTTATATATCTGTGTGGAAGGGGTCTTGGTGTTGTCTGGCTATATCGCATGCTTGCTTTCCCAAGTGCCCACATACCAACCTGGGAACTGGTATTCCATTGATGCCCATCAACCATGATCGTGATGTTGGATGCGATTTCCTGCTTCTTGGCAGAGGGTTGGATTGGGTGGCCCATGAGGTCGCTTCCAACTCTATGATTCTATGTTTCTGTTCAAGTGGTGTGAACAATTAATGTCTAGTTTTTATCTCAGCCATGGAGTGGGATAGTTAGGCCTATGTCATCTTGGATGTTTAGGGTTGGTGCCACTACGCTTGGGGATTTACATGATATAAAGGAGGTCTACATGATTTGTGACCCTTCAGATATTTCGGACTTCACCTCCCAGAATTCCTGACCATTGAACAAGCTGGTTAGGGCTTCTGGAGGTCACTGTTTGTGTAGGTCTGAAATAAAGCCAAGGACAAGGAAGTGCACCATTTGGGTGGGGGCCGGGAAGGTTTGTGTGATACAAAATGGACTGGCCCCAGTGTACTTTCTCAGTGACACATGTGTTTCTCTAAGGCTCCTTCTAAACTGCTCTATATCCCAGATTATTTGCTTATCCCATATTATTTGGCAGTGGAGACTTAAATAATCCACTTTAAAGCAGATCAGATCCTGGGATATAAGGACAGTGTAGAAGGGACCTCAGGCATCATTCCACTCTCTGTTCTACAAATTGTGATTCCGCTAAATGAGATTATTGACCAAAGTCTTATTTTTTCCTTCATTTTGGTATCTTGCTGGCTATAGAAAGAAAACAGAGAGTGAATGCACCCTGCCTTCTGCCCTGTACATCTCTTCCTCTTCCCCATTGCACAAAGCCCAGCATTTAGTGTTTTTTTCAACCAGTGAGAGCTGGAAAAGGAGTTTTCCAAAACTTATTTCTTGTCTGCAAATTGAGGAGAAGGTTTGGATATATCCCTTGCAGGGTGTGGAGCCTTTGTGCACTATCAGTTATGATTTGGATGTGATATACTTCCCCTGAACCTTAATAAAGCTGATTTTCTGAAATATTTGTTGTAGTTTCTGTTTTAAAATTTAGGTAGGCTGGCTGTATGGTAGAATGATTCTTTACCAGGTATGCTGTTAAAGTAAAGTTACGTTAAGTCTAGTCYTGTCTGACTCTGGGGGGTGGTGCTCATATCCATTTCTAAGCCAAAGAGCCAGTGTTGTCCATAGACACCTCCAAAGTCATGTGGCCGGCATGACTGCATGGAGCACAGTTACATTCCTGCCGAAGTGGTACCTATTCATCTACTCACATTTGAATGTTTTTGAACTGCTAGGTTGGCAGAAATAAATAAATTATATATATATATAGAGAGAGAGAGAGAGATGAAATAAATAAATAAATAAATAMAAATATAAATAAATAAAGAATATAGAGAGGGGGATAAATAAATAAATATATAGAAATATAAAATTGTGTGTGTGTGTGTGTATATATATATATATATAAAAATTCTATTCTAGAATCGTGCATAGATAGTACTCACCAATGATTGCTCTTTATCCAGGAATACTGTAATTATAATCTCACTACCATGTAGCCCCTTCCCAAATTTATTTTCAAAATTCTGGTGAGCAGAGTAGTGAGCAATGGCATAATGTGCCTTCTCCCAGTAGTAAGTCACACTGACAGGAAGCTGTGACAAAGCCCCATGTGGCTTAAAAGTTAGGATTTGGGGGGGGGGGGAAACTACTCACTTCACAAGATGTAGCTACAGAAATGTTGTAGTTACAGTACAGGATCTTGGTGATTATGTCCCCTCTCTTTTCATTGCATTTGCCAAATAAAAAATATGCAGGGGAGGGGGGATTAATTATCATATATCATTAGAGTAAACATTGTAGGATGTGTGAAGCAGCACTTAACATACTATACTTCATTATCGATCCATGTTTGGAAGGGAATTTTGCTGAATCGCATGAGTTACTTTGTTTATGAGAAGCCCTTGCTTAGAGTTTTGAAGGAATGCAATTGATACTATTAGGTGGTCCTAGGATCTGTTCCTCTTCAACCTTTTGTTTATTGGCTTCTCCACTTCTTTCCTTTGCTTCCTATATGTATATGGCATTTCACCTGCATCTATGGCAGGCATCCTCAGAGTTTGTGAGAATCTCACAACCTTTGAGGATGCCTGCCATAGATGCAGGCGAAACATCAGGAGAGAATGCTTCTGGAACATGGCCATACAGCCCAAAAATACTTACAGCACCCCAGTGATTCTGACCATGAAAACCTTCGACAATACATTAAATAATAAATGCAGTTAAAATAAGCAAAAGCAACATTGGCACTTACATCCACATTTAGTGCCAACAGTTGCCAAGGCACTGAACTGAACATAGAAGTTTTTTAGGTCCTGTCCAGACAGATTCTATGCTAAATTAACTGGGCAGGGTAGCATTGGAAGAGTTACAATTTACAAAGGGGTACTTTGAATCAGCTGGTAATGGGAGGGTGGAAAGAAATCTGAAGATCCATTGAGTTAAGACCATCTCAAGAAAGATTTGCTAGAGCCAGGATGTAGGAATCAGAAAATGCCAGCTGAGGGAGCAGTTACAGGCGCCATGAATGCCATACAAGAGGCAGGGGAGCTGTCCTAAGTGCTGAAAAGGCAGTACTGAATAGTTTGCAGGCAGAATCACTCAATACATGCCAGAGAGAGGGGAATCAGTTGCTGGCGGATCAGCTATCCTTAAGGGATGAATTAAACCTGTTATGCATTGGCAGGCAAAGAATTAAATTGGTTTCTGAAACATACATCTAAAAGGGGGAAAACTTGAATCTTTGACTGTTTTACAAAATAGGTACCTAGAAATACAATTAAATTCTTAAGAACTGAATGTAGCAGCGACTTACATTTGTACCACCACCCGCCTCATAGGAAACCTGCTACAAAACAGGAGCTTCTTTGTTGAGTTCAGGGCCAGAGGAGCAGATGGCGGAAACAGAAGAACGGCCTGCCTCGGGAGCGTGCTTGCTCCATCCATGTTCATCGTTTACACAAATGACCAGCCACTGCCAGAAGGGACAGAGAGCTTCATCTATGCTGATGATTGTGCCATTACTGCTCAAGTAGGGAGCTTTGAGATGGTAGAGCAGAAGCTATCCGAAGCTCTAGGTGCCCTTACCGCCTACTACAGGGAAAACCAGATGATCCCTAATCCATCTAAAATACAGACATGTGCTTTTCACCTTAAGAACAGACAAGCATCCCGAGCTCTGAGGATCACCTGGGAAGGAATCCCACTGGAGCATTGCAGCACACCCAAATACCTGGGAGTCACTCTGGACCGTAGGAGCCCCCGGTGGCGCAGTGGGTTAAATCCCTGTGCTGGCAGGACTGAAGACCAACAGGTCGCAGGTTCGAATCCAGGGAGAGGCGGATGAGCTCCCTCTATCAGCTCCAGCTCTTCATGTGGGGACATGAGAGAAGCCTCCCACAAGGATGATAAAAACATCAAATCATCCAGGCGTCCCCAGGGCAACGTCCTTGCAGACGGCCAATTCTCTCACACCAGAAGCGACTTGCTCCTGACACAACAAAAAACAAAACAAAACTCTGGACCGTGCCCTGGCCTACAAGAAGCACTGCCTGAATATCAAGGAAAAAGCTGGTACTAGAAACAATATCATACGAAGGCTGACTGGCACAACCTGGGGATCACAACCAGACACAGTGAAGACATCTGCCCTTGCGCTATGCTACTCTGCTGCTGAGTATGCATACCCAGTGTGGAACACATCTCACCATGCTAAAACAGTCGATGTGGCTCTTAATGAGACATGCTGCATTATCTCAGAGTGTCTGCGCCCTACACCACTGGCGAATTACACTGTTTAGCCGGTATTGCACCACCTGACATCGCCGGGAAGTAGCAGCCAATAGTGAAAGGACCAAGGCAGAGACACCTCCAGCTCATCCCTTGTTTGGGTATCAGCCAGCACACCAATGACTTAAATCAAGAAATAGTTTTCTAAGATCTACAGAGACACTCACTGGAACACCTCAGCAAGCAAGAGTCCAAAAGTGGCAGGCTCAACCCAGAACCTCAACCAATGGCTGATACCAAATGAGAGACTCCCTCCTGGGCACACAGAAAACTCGGCGACTTGGAAGGCGCTGAACAGATTGCGCTCTGGCACCACGAGATGCAGAACTTTAAGAAATTGGGCTACAAAGTGGAATCAGTGACATGCAAGTGTGTCTGAGAAGAGCAAACCACTTCCTACAATGCAGTCTGAGCCCTGCCACATTCACAATGGAGGACCTTCTTACAACGACACCAGAGGCACTCCAAGTGGCCAGCTTCTGGTCAAAGGAAATTTAATCAACTACCAAGCTTTCAGGCTTTGTGTTTTTGTCTGTTTGTTTGTTTTGTTAAAAATGTAATACAACTGCCTGGTTGTGCCTGACATGATAAATAAATAAAATAAAGCTGTAATTTGCAAGGTTGTTTTGAGAGGTTTCTGGAGAACTCTTTGCAGTCACGCTTGGACTGCAAAAAGTTCTCCTCAGCACAAGTGGTTGCTATAAAGATCTCATGATAAAAAAGAAATGAGTTGGCAACGGTATGATAATTTGAAAGAGATGGAAATGACGCCAGCAACGTACAGAAAGTAACAACGGATGCCTCCTGAAGACTGTAACCTCTGCCTCATGCAAGACAATTTGTATATGCCCCCACATTCTCCATACATTAGGCAGGAATCTGAAACGCAATAATATCACATTAAGTGCATTTTTATTGAACCAGAAAATTATTTTTGAAGGTGAATAGAAATGTGTGAATGGAGCTGGAAAATGCAGGTGCATTCGGATGGATG